AAATGATTTTGTTTCTGGTGGAAATTGCCTGTGAAATAGATTTTTAATACGTTTACTTTTTCTGCTTTTTTTTTCGATTACCCAACAGCATGCTACTCCAATTCCTATTACATATAACCGAAAGATATGTGGGACATTTATGTATGCGAAAGATGTATTCTAAATAAATCCCAAAAATATTCTGCACTTAAATAACTTACTTGTTAATTATTTTCCAAACTTACCATAAACCTGAAATCACCTAAGAAGTTGTAGACCCAATACTATCTAACACAAAGAAATATTAAAAACAAATTTTTTTTAAGTTTATTGCTTATTTTCTTTAAAGTGATATCGAAATTTTAAAATTATGATGTTTAAGTAAAGATATTCGAAACTTATGATTTTAGTAATTCATATTACCATTTATAAAGTAATATTTGTGACCCTAGCTCTACCTCCCCTAGTGTATCCTTATGTTTTCTCCTCGTGTTTTATGTGTGACTAACCAAAACCCCACCCATTTTGCAGATCTTGGTACCCTCGGCAGCCACCACAGCAACATTGTCAACATCAGCAGCATCCAAGCTAGTAGCAACATCCCGGCAGCAATTTTAACAACCAGCAGCAGCAACAAGAAGACAACCACTGAGGTGGCGACCAGTAGCAAACCTGCTGCACCACCGAATCCCGGCAAAATGGAGCTGCTGAGCAGCACCACAGCAACGGCCACGACAACAACCACAGCGACGCACCACCTGCACCAGGCGACCACCACGAAGCAGCTGCTGGTGCAGGATTACCTGAGCTACGCCTCACCACCCACATACTCCCGCCTGCCGCCCGACGGCCATGAGTTTCCGCCCAACTTCAGCGAGCCACTGATCATGCACAGCCACCCCCTGAAGGTCACCACCGAGTTGAGCTACGAGGTGCAAAACGGGGGCAAGGAGGAGACCTCTGCACCACCACTGCCCAAAACGGGGCCACCGGCCACAGTTCCCCGCAAGGTTTACCGTCAGGATTTGGTTATAAACGTTGAGGCGGCACCCAGTTTGAACCGAGACTATCAGAGATCCCTGAGTGGTGGTACACCACGAAAGCCCAGCGATTGGAGGAAGGATGAAAAGTCGGAGAAGTCGGTGCGCGATAAGATTGCCATGTTCTCGTCCAACAACGAACTGGATGCCATACCGCCGGCTCCGGCCACAGCCCCTATAACCAGCTCCTTTTCCCGAAAACCCCTCAACAGGAGCAGTGAGAATCTGCTCGACAGCTGCTCCACATCCGCGGCCCCTTCACTGAAAACCCGAGCCATGAGTGTGGAGAACCTCAATGATGTCCAGCGGCAGTATCAGTTGGCCAAGCAGCTGCCCCAATTGCATGTGGCGGATTCCATGTATTCCCTGAACACGGCCACGCCCACCCAGAGCTACGCCTCCTTGCCACGAAGAAGCCACGGAGGATCGTATTCTTCGGGTGTGGAGAGAAGAATCAGCTTTTCGGGCGAAGGAGGCGAGGCGGCCAATCGCAAGGCAGCTATAACCAATATACTAGAGCAGCGGCGGAGGAGTTTGTCCAAGCTGCGAGGTCTGGTGATCCCCGAGCGACCCCAGCTGCTGGAACCCATCCTGGATTTGCCGGAGATCAAGAGCCAGGTGAAGGCGGCCAGCGGGGAGGATAGCACGGACAGTGGTCTGGGCGAGAGCCACCGCAGTAGGAGTAACCAAGTAGGTGCAGGAACAGCAGGAAGTAGCTATCGCAGCATCTTCACCACCAACCAGAGGAGACCCCTGGAGCAGCAGCTCTCCCAGCCGCCAGCCAAACCGCCCAGGACATCGCTGACTCCACTCCAGCCGAGGATCATGATGATGCCCCCACCACCGCCTCCGCTGGATCAGGAAAGTGACACGGATTCGGTGTTCTCGCACACGGCCAGGGTGGCCACTCCGCCGGAGAAATTCGCCCTCACCAGAACCCTGAGTTCGGAGACCAACACTTCGATAGCCAGTTCCAACACCTCTACTCTAACATCCGGATCTTCGGCAGGCTCCCAGGCCAGTTGCAGTTCCCTGGGCAGCACACCAGCTGTGGACCTAACCCGCAGGGTGCTCAAGAGCCAGGTCATCAATGGCGAACCCGTGGTCCTGTCCAGTCGCAAGAGCATCCTGGCCTCGGCAAAGTGCCGTAGTGCCAAGAGTCGCGGTCAGGAGGAGGACAACGACAGCACCGATGGCGAAGCCTGCTCCCTGGCCAATCGTCGGATGAAGCCCATCTCCAGCTACAAACTCCAGCAGCAACAGATCCAGTTGGGCAAACAACTGGTGGTGGACAAGCTGATCAATGTGGCTGCCTATGTGGAACTAACCTCGGATACGGACGACAGTAGCCGGAGATCAGATACGCCGGCCAAGATTAGTGCCATGTTCATAGATGAGGAGCGCAAGGCCAGCTTCAAGGGAGATCCCAGCCAGCAGCTGACCAAGGTCAAGGTGGAGCCGGTCAAGCCCATGGTCCTCCTGCCCATGGTGCTGCCCTCTCCGAAGAGGGAACCCCTGAAGCAGCAGACCACCGCCGAATTGAGGGAGAAGTTCGAGAGGAGTGCTGCGGCTCAGGCCCAATCCCAATCCCAGAACCACTCGCCAGTGATCCACAAGATCGCCCAGAAGCCACACCACGAGCGATTCTCCTCGCTGGACTCGCTGGCCTCTAGTTCCTCGGGAGTGAGTTCAACTACCCAAAACGTGAGCACCACCCAGGAGACGGCCACCGAATTCGGCAGCTTCTCGTCGCTGGGCAGCAACCAGAGCTTGATCACCGCCCAGGATGTCCAGCAGATTGTCGAGGAGGCCGATCCTCCTCTTAAGACTCCCGAGGCGTTCATCATTGTCCTGCAGAGGGATAATCCCGAAAGCAGCATCGGCATCACCCTGGCCGGCGGTTCCGATTACGAGGCTAAGGAAATCACGGTTGGTTATCTTTTTTTATACTTGTGAACCTGTTATTAATGGCCTTCTAAATCCCAACAGATCCACAAGATCCTGAGCAACACGCCAGCTGCCAAGGATGGTCGTCTGAAGAAAGGCGATCGAATCCTCGCCGTCAACGGAATGAGCATGCGCGGATTGACGCATCGCGAGTCTATCAGTGTGCTGAAGGTATATATCATAAGTTCTCAACATTCTTAACATCTTTAATCTTAACTATTTGCATTTTCCACAGACCCCCCGACCCGAGGTGGTGCTAGTGGTTACGCGGTCCGAGTCGCTGGTGGTGAAAGCGCTGACCAAGAAGCGATCCTCCCTGGGATCCCTCAGCTCGCTCAACGAGAAGCCCACGGAGCTGGACTACGAACGCAAGAGGAACTACCACAAGGCCTCCCGATCTCTGGACTTGGACCTCGATCTGGTGTCCAACGAGGCTGGTGGATCGCCAGTGGCCACCACTCCGAGCACCGGATCCGTGAGTCCGCCGCAGCCGGCGAGCCTGCACGATGAGGATGCGGAGGCCACCATCGCAGGAATCCGCGCCAGGAGGCAATTGTCCCGCGGAGATGCCGCCAAACTCAGTACGAGCGAGCTTTTGGAACGAGCGGCGGAAGCCAGGAATGCCATTGCGGCGGAGATTCGGGCACAGGGTAAGATGAAAGGGGAAATTTTACATTTCACATTTTAAAAATATTAAAATCCAGTTCTAAATCAATTTCGTTAATCTGTACTCAATCAATAAATCCATTAAACGTTAAACAAGTATATGCGCAACTTCCTATGTCGTAAATAAAGATCCATAATAAAGATGTTAAAATGCCGAAGTGATTGTCAGAAATTAAACTTGCTAAGTTAAAATTATTTTGATTTATTCGGCAATTCATTAAGAAATTAACTGCCAAAGTATTTACTGTAGGTGTATAACTTGTGAAAATGAGTTAGTACAGTTCATATTAAATCTTACTTTCCAGAACTTGTTAATCCAAAAAAATGTGTCTACCTTTCTGTTTAAGATAAGAGGAAATTAAAATATTAAAGACTCGCATTTCCATAATTTATTCTAATAAATCCCATCTTATTATAGCAGAGGATGCGGCGGCCAGTGGAGGAGGAGCTCGTTGTGTCGAGATTGTCAAGGACAGCTGTGGCCTGGGTTTCTCCATCGAAGGAGGCTTCGACTCGCCGCTGGGAAACCGTCCCCTCATTGTCAAAAAGGTGTTCATGGGTAAGGGTCATTTGTCAAACTCTACCACAAGCGATTATTAACTAGGATTCCGTTTCCCCAACCAGGTGGTGCCGCCCAGAAGACCAACCAGGTGCGCAACGGCGACGAAATCCTGAGCATCAATGGGTCCTCCACGTCGCGGATGACGCGGGTGGATGCCTGGAACTATATGAAGCAACTGCCGCTGGGACCGGTCAAGATCTGCTTCGCCTAGGGAGGATGGTCCAAATACAATGCCAACCATGGGGAAGAATGCGCCACAATTTTTGTTAGATTTAAGCCAGTTAGCTTGGTTACCCCTTAACCGGTCTAACCTTGGGGGTCTTGCCAATTCGATGGATCGATGCTGCGAGCGATTTGTTTTGCATTTAAACGAACCTTTAACTGTACGCCTAATTTTATAGATATTTAATTTAAAGTGCAATTGTTTAAACTCTTACAACGTTTTGATGCCCCATTTACCTACCTTAAACTGATCGATGATTGTACATATAACTAATCGAGACTAATTTACGTATTTAAACCTTAAAACAAATTGAAGCCAGCCCTCTGGGCAGCGCTATTTCCTTATACACAACTTATTAATCCACAAACATAACGAAAAAAAAAACACAATTATATTTTATGCCATAAATTATACGGGAACGTTATACATGTATATTATTTTAATAATTATTATTTTATTTAAAGAACAACAAAAACAATGTTTACGTATACAAAAGTATTTGCTAAAAATAAACTTACAATATATATGAAATTATATCAGAGAACTGAAAATTATTTCTTTTGACCAGAATAGTTAAGTATGTACTATACATCCCACCACTTCAAAAAATGTAGCGACCAATTTTGAGATTTATAAAATTTGTTTATATTTATGTCAACTTCATAATGGACTCTTAACTGCTCCTTGCAGTTAGCTTATATATTCTTCGAACATGTTAAAAAACAACTTAAAATATTATTTGTCCTAGTACTGTACATAAATTCGAAATCAGTCGGTTGAAGCCTCGGAAGTTAGACATCTTTGGCTGGCTTTGTCATCAGCTTGGGCAGCTGCAACGTCATCCCCAAGTGCTGCAGGGAAACCGAGGGTGAGGGTGTTGAAGAGGTCGCTGGTAGCGTCCCATTGACCTTATCCGTGGGATGCGGATGCGTTGGGTGGCTGGGTGAGGCGGACTCGTCGGAATGAAATATCTCGCCGAGCAGTTCGTAGACACGACGCTTGAAGTACAGCTTTTGGTGGAAGTTCATGTGCTGGATTTCGGGACGCAGTCCCTGCAGGAATGCGTCATCGAAATCCATGGTTGGTGAAGCTTCAACATTACAGATAGATGTCTGAAGGAGGAAAAAAATAACATAAATAACTAAATGTTTTAATTTAAGTTTTATAAGTTATATATGAAAGAAGATTTTGTATACTTTTTAAAACATTTATCCAAACCTATAAAATTGTTTATACATTGAAGTACATTTGAAAAAAAGTATAATATCCTTGAGTAGTCTGATATTTATTATCATATTTGACTATGCTAGTCATAAGCAACGAGTTACTTTTTAAATGTTGAAGTCAAATTTCTACTTTAAGATATAATTTTACCCCAAAAATCAATCTGGGATTATTTACTAGTGTATTCATTTTTGGAGGAGGAATTTGACTAGAAGCCTCTGCCTAGAACATAAGCCTAGGGAAAATACAGATGATTATTGACCCCACCTTGGACTCCTTGCTCTCCAATCGCATACGCTTTTTGGCCCGTGATTGCCAAGAACGCATCTCGTCAGATGCGTCCTCCTCAGATTCGGAATCATTGCTGTCGCGGCTCTGCGCATGCTCCGTTTCCGGACTGCTCGGCGACATCTTCATCTCGAGCAAAGTCTCAACAGGCGTCTCATGCTGCCCGTCGTCCTGCTCCTCCTGGCCCTTGGGTCTTGAGCGACGGCCCCTCAGCGGGACGGGAATTCCGGGAGTGATGTGCTTCTGCAGGAACTGCAGCTCGGCTTTCAGGTAATAAGTATTCGCACCGTGGTGCACCTTTATGGAGCGGGCGTAGCTGGTGCGGATGTTGCGCCAGCGATCCTTGCAGCTCTTGACTGAATGGGGTAGGGAAATATATTACAAATTATTATTATTACTAATATAAATAGTAAGTTTTATTATTATTAAACTTAAGTTAAAAAGTTGTAAAAATTTACATTGTAAAACAGAAATTTTAAGAAAACTTGGTATGTGGCTAGTAAAAACATTATAGATTATAATTATAAACATTATATAGTAAAACCCTGACCAAGTTTTGAAGAAATTGAGCTCTAAAGGATATACGTGTAAAAATAAAATAAAGGTTCTTTTAATCTATCCCTACCATACAAGCGGGGATTATAAACCCACCCGAAATTCGCATATCTTTGGATATATCCTTCCAGGCATTTATCACAGTTGATTTCCGCATGTAGTTCTCATCGGAGCGATCGTAAAGACATGGATGTTGAGCCACCAAATGGCAGATTTTAGCATTGGTGGCGTAAATATTCGGCGATGGAGCAATGGGTCGACGTCGCGTATTCATTTCATCGATAAAAACTAAAAAATAAATAAAAATTAATAATGGTAAAACGAAGACGACGAAATCGAATGCGAAACGCGTGTCGCCTGCGCGTGCAACAGCTGTTGGGCGCAACTTTTGCGTCGCTGGTCTGCCTGCAACAACAGTTATTTTTGCAGCCACCGGAGCTGTTTCTCTTTTCAACTCACCTGGATTCTATTAATAAATGCTTTAATTAACCTCTCGATCTGCTTTAATAACGATTATTAATTTATTTAACCGTGTTTTGAGTGGCTTGTTGCTGCGGTGCACGAAGAAGTTGCTGCTGTCGCACGTTTTTTTTGCAAATGGCAACACGCTGCGATTTCTGGTTGCGGCCAACAAGTGTTGCAGCTGCAAATGAATGTTGCGATTGCAAATGACAATTGTTTTTGACTGCCAAAAACAAGGGCACTAGATTATTTCGAATGACAGCTCAGCTGGACATTTGAATTGCTAACGGGCGGCGAACATAAACAAAACACTCGTTGCCGGCGAAATAAAAAAAGGGTCACAACAAACGCAAAACCAGAGGCGTTGTGGGCTCTCTTTGTATTCCAGCGGGGGTTCACTGTACGCAAACATGCAACCCCTTCGGAGAGCGCAAAGCGGAGCCATGCCACTGGCACTCACACACACACAAGAATCGCTGGCCATCTGCGTCAAAAGAGAGCAGCAGCACTGCCAGAAACGAAGCGAAAGAAACGCAATTAGTGCTGGCAAGGCCGTTCGATCAGTGCGGAGCTGCCAACAGTTTTAACAACTAATTCTTACTAAATAGCGTTCCAGCCCTAAAAATTATAATGTTAAATTAATTTTAATTGTGTTCGAAATTTATGGTTAATAATAAAATAAAAGCTTTTGATACAAATAAATTCCTATTTTGTTATTACTTAAATAAAATAAAAATAAGTTTACAAATAATATTTGTATTAACTTATGTACGCAATAGAATACCTGGATATAAAATAGTTTTAGTGAGACTTTTTCATAAAAAATTATAAATACCCAGAATTAAAAAAAAAAATATAAATATAAATAACTTTGACATGACTTTGATCACATGAAAATCAGACATCTGTCAAACACATTTCATTTGTGTGCCTAGCTACCAACAGTACAACACGATTTTAGGACATCTCACCTACCTGCGCAACGATTTACAATCCTTAAAAATTATTTAAGCCACCCCGACGGGTTAAATATATATTTTCCCCTGGCCAACTTTCGTCAACCCTCGTTACCGACGCGACGACCTGCCAACTCGCTTTGCCCTGCACGGCACTCTCTCACGCTCTCCGCTCTCTCTGCCGTGTCTGTGTGAGGCCGCACTCGCTTTTAGTTTTCGCTGCCGTTTGTCAGTCTGCGTTTTTCGTCTCAGCTGCTGCGCGCGTGTTGTTGTGTTTTGGTTGTGTGAATTGCGTTTGCGGTTGTAGCTGCCCCACAAAAACGATAAATTCGCGGCGAGCTCTCTCGGTTTGCTGCTCGTAAAGTGACCTAGTGATGAGCGGTGCCACTGAGGGGAACCTGCTGCTGCTGCGGGCGGTCGAGAAGCAGCCGCCGCTCTACGATCGCGGCGATGAAAACTACAGGAAGCGCCTGCCGAGCGAGAACTCCTGGGACATGGTGGCCTCAGAAGTCGGAGAGTCGGGTGAGTTGCGGGTGCGAGCGGGATGGCGCCACGGTGTTGCGTAGTTTTCGGCCAGTGTTGCACAGCGCTACGTTACGTGCAATCGGTCCGGCCCCGGGTTATCGGCCATCGATAGCCGTGCCCGAGTTGGCAGCCCGCTGCCGGCCTGTGAGTGTGTGTTGGTGATGGCAATCACACGCGTTGCCATCGATTAATTCGAAAATAACGAATCTCCTGTTGAATGCGAAGCCGTTTGGGGGTGACTGAATGAAGGAACAACATTTTATTGCAGCAATTTTGTGGTTTTGATTTGAGTTGGGTTCCTTTGGCCATGTATAAAAATGCTAAATCGAGTGATTGATACAATTTTAATTTTTAAATTTGAATCTTTGGAAAGCTTTAATTTTAAATTGTGTACTCATTCTTCATAAGGTTTTACAAAAAGGATTGCTTAGAGATAATTTTTGATGCAAATATCAGAAAAAAAAATGTTCAATTGACGCAGAAAACGCCTTGGCGGAATTTATATATTGTTAATTTTTTAAAACAAATAGTGATAATTTAACAATAATATTTATGAATTTTTGAAATAGATGATGTTTTTATATTGAATCTTATTTTTTACGAGTAAAATTAATTTTCAACGTTTGACACAAAATTCACTATTGCAAGCTTGTTTTAAAATATTTAATAGCAGATATGTTTAGGTATGAAAATCTTAACAATAAAACATTATGATTTTAAAAAGCAATTTAAAAAATAGTTAATTAATGAACAAAGGTTCTGTTGAATTTTTTGAACAGCTGTTCCCAATAACAACATTTTATAAGATATATCGTAAATATAATGTTACCAGATTTCTACTATCGTAACAGGTCTTTAAAGATGGCAGCTCCATATTTCAGTAAAAATGCCCCCGCTAATGCCGTGTTATCGATTGACTTTGCTATTCACCCCTGAAACATTCTTCCGTTTAAACTTTGCAAGCCTGCCGGGTTTATTATTCAGTTTTTCTTACTCTATCAAAATCACGCAAACTTAGTCAAGATGAGCATATACTTAACCAGTATGGATTCGAGTGAGTTTTTCTCTATAATTAATTTTCTTTATTACAAAAGAAGCAAGTCAATCTTTCTAAGTATGTGTGTGTGAAACTAACTGAGTAGTCCTAAGTCCTGTCACGTGGTTTGTGAGAGTTATTTATTTAGAAAACGGCAACTCTTTTTTCGCAGATTGTGTCGTATTTTTTGTTTCAGAGTTCAGTAATTATGACATACCCAGAATTGCAAGCTATTACACATGCATACATACATTCATACATATATATGTATGTAGATGCATTTTTTGTGTAAAATCATCAAATTATATTTTTCGGCTAGATTGTAGTACTCGCTCGAATAAGAATATGTGCGCCAAGACAAATTGAAAACTTTAAATGAAGCATATAGTTCATTTTTTGGAAAAAAGTATTTCCTTTTAAATAATCATCCATTTGGATCATAAGCCTTTGTAGATATTTTCCAAGGCCAAACAAGGTGCTGCGCGTTTTAAAAACTTGCATTTTGGCCAAAATCGTTTTTTTTGTGTGACAAAAAACTAAGCAAAAATTCGGTAACCACAATGTTAAATATTAATATAAATAATTGCCTGCTTGAAAAAAATGTTAATGAAATAAAAGCTACAGGAGTTTTAAGAATTCAATAGCTATGCGTATAAAAAGTGTGAAACAATTGTTTGCCTTCGATAAAATTTTAACAAATTGTGAAAACCATTTTCCGGTTTTAAAATAAGCTATGTGGCAAGAAAAGTAATAATTTGCAACAAATTAATTTATGAACTTCTTCAAATAAGTCGTACTTTTTTTTAGTAATTAGAAGGACACTTAACAAATTGTAACGATAAGGCAAGCATTTCATACTCAACACCTACTCACCTTTTGCAATAAAACCAAAGTTTTATACAATTTTTTCAGAAAGCCCTTTTTTGCATGCTTTATATATTATTCTTGCACACAAGATATTATTTGACATCTAACCAAAACTCACGGTTAGTTTAAATGAAAAAAATGAAAATGAAAAATCAATGTTGAAAATATTTGTAACTGACTAGTCGTTTTGCTTAGATTTTTTCGGACACGTTATTTTAATTAATCAACAAAAAAGCTTACTTATTGAGCCAATTAGGCCATAGGCTCACGAACTAAATTATTGCCCCTTAACCAAATCCCTAAAATGTTAGCATAAACTAACATACAATTTTTGAATGTATGTATATTAACCCTTTGGCCAACAGATAAAAGTGTCATTTCATTCTGCTAGATGAGAAGCAAAACAAAAATCAAAAATTATAATTTGCAAATTGTACGCATTTGTTGTATATATTTGGTACAAAATTCTTTAATTGTACGTAAATATGTAAAGTAACATTTAGGTATTAGGATTTGAGAATTTGCAATATAAAATAAAACATGGAACAATAACCAAAACAGCTACACTTACTTATCTGCTGCTCAGTGAGTATATATATGTAGCATACTTTCATGCGTAACCTTTTTCAGAACAATCAAATATAAGACCATCAAACTTAAATGCATTGGGCCAAACAAAATTTTAAAAAATACCACTATCAATTTATGAAAATATTTTCTGATTATCAGGAAAATTTGGTACGCTCTTATTACCTACTTATTTGATATTGCAGATGAAGAGATTTCGCACATATGCTAGGGACTTTGAAAGTTTATGGTTTCAGCTTATTTTTGTATTTTCGGGTTCAGCCCAATTTGGGGGTGATTTGCCAGATGTATTTGTTAGCTACCTGTAGTTTAATTTATATTTTACCTGTCTAACCTAGCCACTCCCTCTCTCTTCTCTTGCAGTGGAAAAGTGCAAGCGACGCTGGCGTCAGCTACGGAACGATTATACCCGGTGGTGCAACGCGGATGCCCACCGCCGTCGAAAGGGCCAACGTCGGTTGGCCTATCCGCTGGCCGATGACCTGCGCTTTTTGGACCGCCACCTCAACCTGGCCGAGGACATTGGCATCGACGACGAACGCAGCATATCGTCGGACAAGGACCGGGACAGGGATAGCAACAGGGACAGCGAGAGCAGGGATCACCTCCAGCATCAGCCTCAGGTGTCCTCAAAAGATCGCGCCGCCTCGGTAAGCAACTCAGTCAAGGAGGCCAAGCAGATCAGAAAAGTTCGTGAAGAGAAATCACTTCGAGAAGAAGAGGAATCTTTGGAAAACCGAGAGGATCAGGAGCAAGCAGAGGACAGGTCTCCTGAAGAAGAGCTATTTGAGCCGGAAGAACCGGAGAAAGTTCCCGAACAGGACAGTTTCCTGCAATCGGACAATGAAGGCGACGAGTGCGTGGACGAAGAGCATCTAGAGGAGCTGGAAGGCTTTGATTTTGACATAGAGCAAACGATGCAGGAAAAGGAATCGTCTCCTGAAAAGTCTCTGGAAACGGATCACGCTGATTCACCCGCCAGCCAGTCGGAGTTCTTTATTAAAGAAAGTAACGACCCCCATCTGTTGATTATTAGCAAAAAGAACTCGGCAGCATCGGTTGGTGAGCCCGAGGACGAGGACTCTAATTCCGAGGATCCTCTGGAGGAGGCCATGGAGGAATCCATGGAGGATAGTGGCGAAGAGTATGCCGGGTACGGGAAAAAGCGGGCGGCAGGCGGCGAAGACACCACTGCTCCCAGTCGCCGCAGACGTCGCGGTGCCCGCACATCAATAAGTTCCGCTGGCATCAAGGAGTTGCCGATTCGAAAACCTCTCCAAGGACAACGAATCACTCGTTTGCAGCGCCGGAAATCGATGAGTGTGGCCGCTGTGCACAGTGTTAGGAGTTCCACATCGCCGGTGAAGATGACACCGGTGCCCAGATCCCAGCCATATAACAAGCCACCCTCTGGTCAAGTCCAGATCAAGAAAGTGGGCCTTAGGGATGACATCTTTCCACGACCCACGGGGTCAGCTGGAGGCCAAAACCAATCCAAGACCCCACAGCAGCAGAAATCGTTGATCTTTCCTAAGAACGATTCGATTGTCGCCATCCCACAGGTGCCCGCTCCACCAAAGAGATCCGTGGGCAGGCCGCCAAAGAAGCTTCACTTGATCCAGCGGTTGGTGGACCCGCAGGCCAGGCCAGAATCGCCCAAAGTCTTGACTATAACCAAGCCCAGCAGCTCTACCGTGAATAATAGCAGCAACAGCAGCAACGTATCCAATAAGAACACCACCCCAAGCAGTTCGAGCAGCAGCAGCGCTACCACCAAAGTTACCACCAGCAACAACCTCAAAACCGAAAAGAACGATAACATAACCGTGATGAGCTACACTTCCAGCTCGACAAGCACCACCAGTCCCAGTGCTTCTGGTACAGTGGTAACTGCCATACCCACAGCAAGCTCTGGAGGATCGTCTGTTTCGGTGCCACCATTTGTCACCGTTTGCAAACGCGGCGATCGGGGCACTCAAACCGACAGCCCAAGCGTCTTCTCCGATGAGCACTTCCTCGAAATGATCAAGCCCCAAATGCGGGAGATGAACTCCCGCCAAAAGATGCACTTCAAGAAGAAAGTATTCCAAGCGCTGATGGAGACCTTTGACGATGCCACCGATTTCCCCACGGCTGGGGAATTGCAGCACTTCAATATCAATACTCCCTCTGGGTTTGAGCACGTTTCGGATCCGGAAATGCGGCTGGTCAGGGAGCTAGTTAGTTTGGTGAGCGCGGCAAAGGTGACTGTAATTAGACCACCAGCCGACAATGCACCTGTCCCCAGCCGCAGCCCAGTCGTTTCGGATGCACTGCGTGCACCGCGTCCAAATATGCCGCGTCATGTGATCCAGAGGGTCTACAAGCAAGGCACTGGACTAGAGATCGCCTCGAACAACACGACCGGTGCTGGGCAGGAGAAGAAGCTGTACAGGATCCTGCAGATGAGCGGCAAACCGAACGGCAACATGAGTGCCTCGCTGGACAATCTCCGCAAGGAGAGCGTGGACAGTGCTCACGGTACTGTGAGGGTGACCAACAGCGCCTCAACCGCCAGTCCCAAGGGAGCAACCATAGTGGCTGCCGTGAGACCACAGGGATCTTCGATCAACACTTTCTTTGGGCAACCCAACGGAGCGCAGCCTGTCAAGAGCGGGCCGCCTGTTAAGGTGCGTGCCATGTCCCGGAGGTACTCCGTATGCGGCAGCAGCAATCCACCCAACGGCCAAACCAGCAGCCCAAGTCCCGCCACCACTGGCAGTTCCTTGAACTCCAACCTTAACCCAATGGAGGCGGCCATGCTAAAGCGGAGATTGATAGCACCTACCCAGGGAATGGTGCCACCATCTCAGCGACCTCGGTATTCCGCTGGACAATTGTCAACCGTTTCACATGGCGGTAGTTTGCTGGTCAGGAAGTCGATGGGCCCTGTACCTGGAAACCAGAAGCAAATCTCACCCACCGGCAGAGCCTTGACGGCTCAGAAAACTCCGCAAATTGCCAGTGTCCAAGGATCGGTCTTCAATGATTTTGTCCAGCCCAAGGCCGCTGCAGCTCCCTCTGCTTCCAGTGATGGAAGTTCGCCAAGTTCCGCGCTGAAGCGGAGCCTGGTCGTGGCCAATACAAAGACGTCCTTTCAGGACCTTCTTCAGCAGCCAAGTCAGCCGTTGCAGAGGAAAAAGAAGGAATCCTCGGAGACAGCAGCCACCATTGCAGCGGATGATTTCTCATTAGCCAGCCTGAAGCGAGAGCCAGTGGATCACATTGATGATCAGGACGACATTCTCGGAATGTAAATTTAAGCCAAGGAAATCCCCGAAGATCGCAAGCATATATTAAGAATCTTAAAGATTTAACAAAGACAGCAAAAATCATCGACACAAAAATTGAATAATTGTTTAGATAACTAAAACACCCATAATGTTGCTTAAAACATTTTTTTTTACATTTCCTTATAATTTTAAGAAATATGTTCCCATTTCCGATTCGTTGCTGCAAAAAGTAAACCTGACTTCTGCAAAATATTGTTTATAATTTGAAATGGGAGAATAAATACCAATTGTACACATAAACATTTTATTAAAGATCACGAAAATATTCCTATTGTAGCCATATACTTGTTTTTAAGAGAATTCGAATCTAAATTTCATTTCACAATTTGTAGTTATATAAAATCAATAAATATTGCCTTTTTCAAGTTCAAGGAAATGCATTGATTACTTGCTATGAGGGGTTTGGAATGGAATCCTTTGTTGTATTGACAAAGGTATTTAGCGACGAGTTTAAATGAGTCAATTATATCGCATTGGACTGATTTTAAAGTTCACCTGCTGGTGCAATAACCGCAAGAACTTTAAATACGTGGTCTAATTTGTAACCAACACGTCATTGATAGCAGAAGATTAGATATTGTATGTCGACACATCATTGTTCGGTAAACCTTAATTTACCTATGACATTTTTCAGGAACGAAATGTAAACATTTCAAAACAGGATTTTAACAGAGGGACACCACTCCTTCTGGATTATATACATCCCGTTTTGGGTGAACCACCGGTCAAGATTTACAAGGCATTGGTAAATCTACTGGTCTTTTCGCACGGGCTTGGAATCTAATCTGGAGAGGTCTACCTCGATCGGCAGCCGTAAATAAGGGAGTCAGTGCCCAGATAAGCCAAGAACATATAAAACCTCTCCCCAAGTGTCTGCGTAGCTCAGTCGAAATTTAGACATTCACCATGAAACACTTTGCAGTCTGCGCACTCCTCATCTTGCCGCTGGTCAGCGGTGGATTCGCGCCAGCACCACCCACCAGGCACTTTGTGGCCTACGAGATCCAGTCCACCAACAACAATTTGCCCGAGATGGAAGGTAAGAGGCAATGGGAATATTACAAGATGGTACCGAAAACTATATGGTCTTTTTTCAAGAATTCGGATTAAAGAAATTTCTACAACATATTTTGACAAAGTGTCTCACATTTTTTGATAACCCAAAGACAATCTACAAAAAAATTTTTATTTGAAGTGATAGCAAAAAGACATTGTGGGCAAAATGAAAGGTGAATTTTTTTGGAAAAACATAAAGTAGTAAAGTGTGAGCCGGTGCATTAAGTGATGCAAAAACTAAGAGTTGTAATAATATATCATAATTCGTATAATTTATAAAAAATATTTTATACTTTGGTTTCATTTGGATTGTTATTTTGACTCCTTACAGTTATTGTTCAGAAGATGCAGGCCATGCTCCAGAAAATGATGCCGGAAATCTCCGTCATGGCCGATGCAGTTGTCGTGCCCGACATGTCTGTCCAGTCGGACGCTGGAGTGCTGCCCGATATGTCGGTGGCCACCGATGCTGATGATACCTCCAGGAGGCGTGCCGCCCAGTTCAAGGTCGCCCCGGTCGCCAAGGTTGCCGCCCCCGTGTTCGCCCAGATCCCCGACATGTCCGTCCAGGCTGACGCCGGCTTGATCCCTGACATGTCTGTGGCCACCGATGCGGACGAGACCCCCAAGCGCGCCTCTTTTGGCCTAAAGAAGCCTCTTCTGGACAGGATCGCCGGAGCCATTGCCAGTGTCGATGCCGATCTGATTCCGGATATGTCCGTTGCCTCTGACGCTGATGTGACCCCCAGGAAGGCTGTTCCCGGTCTGAAGACCTTGCCTCAGTTTGCCAAGGTCTCCGGAGGCGAGCCAGTGGAGATTATGACCCCCAGAAATTCTTTTTCCGGTCCTAAAACCTTTCCCCAGTTGACCAAGGTCCGTGGTGGTGAACCAGTGGAGATTATGACCCCCAGAAAGGCTTTTTCCGGTCCCAAAACCTTTCCCCAGTTGACCAAGGTCTCTGGAGGCGAGCCAGTGGAGATTATGACCCCCAGAAAGGCTTTTTCCGGTCCCAAAACCTTTCCCCAGTTGACCAAGGTCTCTGGAGGCGAGCCAGTGGAGATTATGACCCCCAGAAAGGCTTTTTCCGGTCCCAAAACCTTTCCCCAGTTGACCAAGGTCTCTGGAGGCGAGCCAGTGGAGATTATGACCCCCAGGAATGTAGCCGGTCTTAGGACCATGCCCCAGCTTAGAAAAGTCTCCGGAGGAAAGCCAGTGGAGATCATGACCCATGCCGATGCCGATCTGATTCCAGATATCTCCGTTGCCTCTGATGCTGATGAGACCCCCAGGAGGGCTATTGCCGGACTCAAGACCCTGCCCCAGTTGACCAAGGTCTCCGGAGCCGAGCCTGTGGAGCCTATAGCCCAAGAAGTTGTTGAGGATAAGGGTAAGTAACCTTTAAAATTGTTCGTAAATTGTAAACATTTTGAGAAGTTTATTACACCACTTAAGGCATAGTATTTTTAATTTTTGGAGTTTATATTAAAAGAAATAAGAAACAAATTAATAACTCAATCAAGATAATGAACCACACTGCTTTATAAGGGAATTTTAAGGTCATTATGGTCTTAATAATCATAACAAGTATTTCAATTTTAATTAAATATTATTTTAATGTAATGTTTTCGAAATGTAAGTATCGTTTTTAATAATATTATTTTTTCTTACAGCTGCTATCCAGGTGCACGATATGTCCATCGCTAGTGACGCCAAATTCGATCCCAAGATGACTCTGGCTGCTCTTTTGGCCAGACGCCACTAATTGATCCAGGAATTATTCAACTGACCCTGTTTAAATCTGAAATAATCCATATTTGACTGGTTGTGCGTTTTTGTATTTTTAAGTTTTTGTATGATTTTCAATAATCAGTTTGAGAAGAGTGAATAACATGTGGTTTTATTTTTGTTTTCATTTATTATCAGCCATTGATTGGGGTGGTCTGGTTGGTTCGATTTAATGCGTATAAATTTCCTATCGCAATAGTTGTTCTCTATTATGTGTATGTTATCATTATTGGAAAAAATGGGAATTTAACTATGACGCATTAAGCGCACGTGAAGTTATTATAGAAAATGTATTTTGATCAGCTTTAAAAAAAATGAAATTATCTATTAATGTTTGTATCACTGAATTATTATTGGTGTATATTACATTAAATAATACCTATTTAAAATTAAATAAAAAAAGCATTGGATAAGTGTATTGAACATTATAGAAAATGAGTTTTTAATTAAAACACACGAAAAATGAGTTCATTTCGAATTTTAGTTCGTTTTCATTATACTAAATACTCCAGAACCTCATTTAATGACAAGAGTAACCCTGACATCTTCTGTGCTATTTACCCCATGCAGTTAACTGACGAAAATTTATGTATATAGATGACTCAACTTGACCTCTGCCATCTTCTCAACGGCGGAGGGTTCCCAAACTGGAGATACAAAGACCGGGCTTAATCCAAGTTCAGGCTTTGCATGTTGTCCAAGAAAAAGCTGATTAGGTTTGGCCCTGGGCTAACCTCCTAACTAACAAATAAAATTAGGTTTTTTTTTGGTAGGCATATCAGGGAGGCGGAGGTGTATTGTATCGCTTGCTATTTATAAAAAGGAATTAACGGCAAAAACCGGACCCACACACAAAAGTGGCCGAATGTGATCCCAATGTGGCACATGGCCATAAACAACGCGGGGGTGCAGAGGTCGTTCGGAGCGGGGAGTTTGCGCCAGTGATGCCGATTAGAACCCCTTACTTATCTTATTTTTATAGAACTATTGGATCTAGGAAAACAGAAAATGAAAAGAAGGTGGTAATATATGGGTTATAATAAATATTTTGAATAAGGAATATAAATACCTATAGTTTTATGATTGACACTTCAACCCCTTCTCACTTTTCACATGTTCTAGGGATATGCAGATTGTATAGTTTACCAGTTCCATAAAAGTATTAAATATTAAAATTAGAACAAAATTTTTTGACATTTAATTTTCTCAAAGAACTTGTTATATTTTGGTCCTCAAAATAAGTGGTTGCCATCTCTACTGGAGTTCCTGCCACTTTGTTGCTGCTGCCGTTGTGATTTTCATACAAAAGCGCTAAAGCGGCTACTAAATTACGTGCTCATGTGTTCTAGTTCGAGGCAACTCCCCCTCAGCCGCCCCTCAACCAAACCGCCCACTCCACCGCCCACCGCCCCCTCTACATATCGAGCAAATCGCATTTGGAGCCGCTAATGAACCGCAGTGGTCCCGACCAGGAGGCGTCCATTGGTGGTGGTGCTGGTGGTTCTGGTACTCGTACATATATCAGTGGTGCTGCAGTCCCGACATCCTACTGGTTCAGTTTCTGGTTTTTGTTTTCGGTTTTTCGCAGCTTCGCTTTTACCTTTTGCCGCATTTTCAAACGGAACAAGTTTGAAGAACGGTTCCGAATGTTAAATATCCCGCAAAGTGCCGTAAAAGATATAATAAAATAATTTCAACAACCGGTTCACCAAGTGCGATAGATACGACAGTTCTTACTTTAATGCATCTACATGTGTTCTTTTAAAGTAGTACATGAAGTGTTATTAATTCGTAATCGTAAGATACCAATATACATATGTGTCAACAACATATCATTTAAACTAATTTGTTTCCAAGCCATTTTCACTTAATATAAAAAATAGCCTTATAATTTGAATCTTTGACAAACCTAACTAAATTAAGTTTGTGAAATTATAAAAAAAATCCTTATCCTAAATTAAAAAGAGTTTGAAAACGATATCGTCTTTCATTTGCATAATAACAATATACCTTTGTAGTCCTCAAGTACCGGGTGTAAAAATACCGTTTAAAAGTGTAACAATGCTGTTAACTATTGTGGGCAGGCCCGTGGATTGAATTGCATAGCATGGGCGGGTTTGGAGGGACGAAACAAAAAGGGGGATCTGCAACAATTGGCGCTTGATTAAGGTGAGTTACCTTTGCGCATGTGGGGGGAGTTGAAAGGGCGCCGCCAAAAATTTCAATAAACTCTCAATCCACGCCAGGCCAAAATAGTTTCACTTTAACCGCTCTGTTATACCAATTTTCCTTGCAAAATAATACTAATTTATCAGCTTCTCTCCAAGGATTTAAATCTATTTCCTAGCGTTAGGGGTAAGAATACATTGTGGCTTGGTTAACAGGTCGGCTTACGGAGCTCAGGTCTGGGTTCAGAATACTATACCATAACTTCCTTTCATTTACTTTGCGCTGCTGCTGCTGTCAGGTCCAAAGTTTTCCCCATTGCGCTGTGGCTTTGCAGCTGTCGCATTTGATGTGAAACTGCCACCCCTTCTACCATCAAAACCCCCTCGGGTGGCTTTTGGTTGCACTTATTACAAAACTTTTAACTTCTTCCCGTTTTGCATTTTCATTTATTTCGCCGCCTTTCATTCACTTTCGGCTTTGTTGCTGCTGCTTAAGCATATCACTTCACTCTCGAAGAAATTTCATTTCACTTCCTTCCGCTGTTTTATACACCCATACACTGAAAAAAATATAAATTACATTATATCAAGCGTTTTTAAAAATTTTATTGAATGTACAAATATAACATCTGATATATTTTTCTGCCTTTGAAAATTGTAATTTTTTTCAAACTTTGCTCAACAGTTTGTAACGCAGTGAAGAATTTTTAAGTCCTATAACTTATATACATTCTGCTAACTACTTTAACGGAATGAAATTTACTTTAAAAAAACAATTAATTTAATAAATCTAACTTAAGGGACTTTTTTTTTAGTTTTCTGCATAACCTTAACTTGTTTTGTTGAGTACAACTTCTCTTCTTCTCTTTTTTCAGAAAGTTTTTGCTGACTTTGGCCTTTTGATTTCCATACTGCATTTTGCATTTGAATTTGCTCCTTTTTTTGGGGAGCCAAACTTTTGCTTTCAGCCGGACATGAGCTTGAATATATATTTCCCCTACAATATATAAGTTGGACCCCATCGTCAATATACTTATAATCGAAATTTACTTAAAGTTGGAGGTCAGCTAAAAGTTGAAGCCCAATTTTTGTAGGCTTGTTTGAGTAAAAACTTGTTTAATAGAATGAACGCTTTTTCTTAGTAAGAATTACTCAGCGACGTTAATATTTCAGATTGAAAAAATTCTCCCCAGGGGAAAAGCATGAAAGGGGTCAGTTTGTTGGTTAACCTTTTGCTAATGACTTCCTTGTCGTCGCTGTGGGCTCCTCAATAAGATAAGCCCAAAGTGCAACAGCAACAGCAAACACAACTGGCAACCAGCAACATCAGCAACTAGCAACATCAGCCACTAGCAACTCGCAACAACAGCAAACACTTCAAGAATGTTTAGCGAACACGCGATGACAACACAACCGCTTTTAAGCCCAGTAAGATAATCAGATTTTATATACCCTCACAGTTACTACAGGTTTTTATCATATACTACCTTTACGAACATACGACTTTTTTATTATAATCAAACCTACGTACTTGGTATTAAAATATAATGCAATTTCAATATATATACTTCATAAATTTTTTTAGTAATATCGAAATACCCTTTGAAAGCGTATATAGAAAAAGGAACATTTGAAAACTTATATGCGCAAGCGAGAAAGCAACAAACACGATGGGCGGTTCAGCCGAAAGCCAACAGATGGCGCCAGCTAAACTGTTTGCAGGCAGGGCAAAATAAATGAAATTCACTTGGAAGGAAAACAAGAAATAATTCGCCGCAGGTGATGTCAAAAAAGGAAAATTCTCTTTTCGAAAGTGACAGATAAAATTGTCAGCTTCGAGAAAGGAGGAAAGAGAACTTGGAAAAGTTTTGACAGTTCTTTGAAGAGCAGTTACACTTTATTTTCAAGAGTTAGAGTCGCTGATCTTTGATTTATACTATCCTAATTTAAATCAAGACTAATAATATTTTAAATTTCTCTAAAACAAAATAAAAATGATCTTCAAAAATCGATCTGTTTTGTTTTATTTACCTATTTACTTTAATTAAATATATAAAATACAACCGAATTATTTGATGACTTTGGAATACAAAACGTGACTCCTTTTATCGTGTAAAATATTGTATTTTATTGCTGTTATAAATTAAGATTTTCTTACTTTCCCACATTTTCCCACACGCTTGGTGCACTTATGCTATACAGCTGAACTTAATGATTAAAGTTAAGCACTTTCGCCTCGTTAAAAGTAGCATGTGCACCGTAGCAACTACATCCCCAAATAAGCGGTTGCAATAACCACTGTAATCATGGTTGCAACATGCCACTGCCACCATATCGCTGTCTTAACCTTTCCAAACCAAATCGACAGGCATCCAATTAATTTGAATAATAGTTAAAGAAATAATTTTTATTTTCGCTTATTATTAATCTTTGAACAAGTCATATCAGATGTGAAAAATAAATAATAATCACAAGAAATTTGACAGATTCCCACCGTAAAACATAACTTATTTTCCCATGGCACAATAATTTTTCTATTTTCAGTTTATGTAACTTATTTTCTTGCATTTTTATTACCTTGCCAATTTGGTGCTCGTGACCTGCGGACGATTCATCTTCCAGTGGTTGCATTTCAGTCTTATTTTTTGGTAAAAATAAATTTAATTAGCCAACGATTTCGTGGAGTAGTGGGTAGATGGGAAAGAGCGGTTTTCGGTTGCTGCAGTTGCAACTTTGACATTTTGCCGCATTAGCAAACGATTGCCGCAGTACGTGATGTCGTATGCCCCCCTTTTTCCAGCCATCCTCATCTTTTTGGCCTTGGTATTTTTATTTCATCGCTTCTTTTTCGGTTGGCATTTTGGTTTTGGGTTATTCAGTATTTTTTTTAGCCCTGCCGGTAATAAATATTTTATTAGACGCGGTGTAAAAG